CCACACCCACACCCTTCTTATTAAAGCAACATTGATTAATGTTCAATATGCCCATTTTCATAGTTAGAAGTATAAACATCGAAGTTGATCTTTTATCTAAATAGGCATGTGCCAATAATTGATAAATATAGAATTGTCGATATTGAATTTTTTATTTGTTAGAGTTCTGGTGTCAGTATTTTTATTTAGTATTAAATGATATTAGACATAGATTTAATTGTTATGTGCATGTGATTAATAACCTATAAAAATCATAAGAAGCTGCAGTTATAGGCAGCAGTGTCGCATATCCTGGAATTTGGAGATGCCAATGCATCTTCCGCAGGAGATGCGGTATCTCTCGCGGGATATGTGAGTGTGGGTGTGGGGGATGCGCATCTCTATAGGAGATCTTATATCTCCCGTGGCAGATGTCCGCATCTCCCGGGCATGAGTGCCACGTCTTCCACGAGAGATGCGGTGGCATCTCCACATTTCGGGATATGTGTCACTGCTCGTTATAGGTATATTGAAATGTCCACCTTAATATTTAGTCATTGTTTGTTAATCCTTATGTAATATTACACGCCTAATCAATCCATTTAATCCGCTTCTCATTATGATTAAGATAATTACTTCGAACAAATAAATTCAACAAAGAAGAATATTTGACGATTATATACAGAGCCCTGACAAATGTTTAATTTTTTTGAAATAAAAGAACATGAAACGCGTCAGCAAATTAAACTCTAAATTTATTAATTTTTTATTTACAAGCTCAACATCTTCATATTTATCTATCTTCGATTTAGTCGATTGCTAAAAAAGCAAAAGTCGAGAATGCAAACTGAACTTGTTCTTGTCAAGAAATAGAATCGATCTGTTCTTCGATTAATTCATCAGCATACCCTCATGTTTGTATATTAAAACACGAAAAGATGTTAATCTTTTCAATTTAATGCATGAAATAATGCAGCACTAAAGCCACCTATTGTGCCTGACATGACAGATTGATTTTCAATCACTTATCATGATGATATTGGTTAAAATACTCTAATCGCTTAACGGTTTCAAATATCACAGCGATTATTTCTTATCGAATATTCTAAAAGATTCTTCCTTTGTCTTGTCACTTTTCTCTATTTTTCTATTATGACAATATAAGCAAAATAACTCAATTGTGATTTAACACAACAAAAGGCAAACATAGAATTGATTTTCAGAGCATTCTAAACCATTTTAGAACAATAGAAGATCTGATGATGGAAATAGTGGCGCACTATGGTTGCTGAATAGATGTTTTTACAGGTGAACAATAGCGTAACGAATACGAGTATAAAATCATAAGAAGAAAGAATGTTGAAAATATTAGAATTGAATGAATAGATAGAAACCTATTTGATTTCAGCTATGATTGATTTTTGTACTTGTAAATATTTGCTTGATGCTTTTGCAAGTGTTTCGAACAACTTGTATAATATCTATTTTATATATCTACACACAAAATTAGTTTCATTTTAAACTCTTTCTATGAGAGTATTTCATTTCTGATGGGTCAAATTGAAATATTTTGTAAAAAAGAAATTTAAGAAAAAGAAAAAAAACCGGACATCCGTGTAACGATTTTCGATTGAAGAAGAGTTAGTACTGATGGAATTATGCTTTATTTAGTTTCTTCTTTTCGTTAATCGCATCGTTCTCATAAAAAGCACACGCTTATATTTACAAGCAGCACAGAGAGAGGGGACAAGAGAGGAAAGACAAAAGTAGAAACATTCTAATATGGATAATCGTAAGGTTATACACAACGTTTATCCCACTGATACTCAACGCTGCTAATACATTATAACACCGATAATATTTTGGTAGAAGGAAAGAAAGAGGATAGTATACATTAGAATGACAAGAAATGGTTATTACTATCTAGTACTATTGAAAAATACCATAAGAAAAGGCTACGTCGTCAACACATCAGGGATGGTTACAATCCCTCCAATGTTCAAATCAAAATCATTTTTCGACACGTAATTTAAACATAACAGCAATGTTATTCAGTTGAAATTCAATAGAAAATTTTGTTGGTACTCACAAACGGAGAACCTTTTCAAGACAAAAAATTGATTCTCTCTCATATGTTGAAATATTATAAGAAGAATCTGTTTCATTCCATTTCGATTTTAACCGAGATTCAAGTAGAAAATAATCATGATATTTTTCAATAGGTCAAAAAAGATTTTAGGGATATATCAACGGCATAATGGTTTATATTCAATAATGAGTCATAGTTTTCGTTGACACTGAAATGTAATTGGAAACGTATGGATATTTGATTTGAAAGCAAATAGAACTGGTTTGTTGTTCTGAAAATCCATCATGAGTATGCATTGTAATATACTAATAGGCATGCTCTAATTATACATCTGTGTGTCACTTTGCTGCGCACAATCCTCTAAGTCTGATTATCATTCGACATCGTATGTGCATGACTCTTTTGTTTTTTATAATAACTACGTTCTGACAACCAAGGACATCATTTAAGCCCTTCATATATTCGATAAAGGTGAATTTAAACGATTTACTATATAAGGTGAATACCAATCGCAGTATTCTGTAGCAATCATTATTTATACTGAAACCAATGATAATTCGTGCCGTTTTATGTGTTATCATACTGACGTATGTATACCATGGCATTGAAGCCAATATGCCAGGTATGAAATACAAAAATGTTGCATTTTACGGTCTCTTCCATCAAAAAGAACCAACTTTAGTCAGAAATGCCAAAATTGAGATAAATGCATGGTGGGATAGTCTGAAGTTGGCTCTTCCAGAAACAATATGATTTTTCAATCTAATACTTTATTTGCGCCAAAATTTGTTGTAATTTTCATTAAAAATTTTCTTAGTTTATGTGCTTTCTTGATGACACAAGTAAGAATCTCTGTGGATTCTCATTCTATATATGTAACTTTGTTTTTATTTGAAAGAGCATGCGAAGATCTAGTACCTAACAGAGTCCTTTTTTCAATTAAACTTTGTTTTATTATATATTCGAAAATGTATATAAATCAATAACCATCTTTAGAGAGCTTTTTGAGTCATTCAACCTGTGATCACTTTTCTCCACTTAAAAAGTAAGAAATTGAAAAAAAGAGCTCTGGTAGGCACTGTATCCTGGCACGCTTTTTCAAACGAAAAAAAATAAATTAATAGAATGAGTCTGGACAGAGAAATCTTGTTTAATGAATATCTCTGTCATACATCATGGTACTGAGCTGAAAATGTTACTATAACCAATATGAATGTACTTGAATTAAGATCGGTTTTTGAGGGGGGGAGGCCTTAAACATGTATTTCGAAATGCAATAATAGGATATTCATGTTTGAGAAAACAGAGACTGGAAATTATAATGACTAAAATCAGTGTTTTGATGAAAATTCGAATATGAATAAATTTTCTCGTCATTGTTTACGTAAATATTGAAGAGCCGATCCAGAGTTATTGAAAATGTGGCAACGGCCTAGTTGCTATCATACATTTCCAATCATTCAAAAGATGAAATCTATTAGGAAGTCAATTGAAAAACCAAGTTTTTTCCACTTTTTTTAACCGAAGTGTTATAGTCAAATATTGTAACTCCTTAGAAACAGCAACAGAACGACGAAAAAGATAATCTCTTCGTGAGACTCGAACCATGCACCTTCTGCTATCCAAGCAGATGTTCTACGCCAGTTAGACTAGAAGGGACATCTAATCTTCGTTCCGTATCGAATGGTTACAAATCAGATCCTAAAACGAAGCACGTAGAAAATATGCTAATGACTGATTTTGTTCGAAATTCGATGCTCTTTTACGTTTTATACTCGAAAAGTAGTTTTCACAAACCCTTTTGAAACTTGTATAATCCATTCATGATATGTTATCAAAAGAAAAAAGAGAGAGATTCAAAGTATTGTATTCTTATTAGTTTGAGCACAACTGCAGTATGTTATAATAATACAGCCACATCGTTTATGAGATTGAAAATTTTCTTTTTTATTTATATAGTATGTAATCCAAATCCATGTGCCAATAATGCACCATGTACACCAATAAATTCGAAGCATTACCGATGTACATGTCCTACTTATTTGCCTGTCAGTGGAGACAATTGTGACCAATTGATGATAAAATGTAAGTTAATCAAGATAAATTCTTGTTTTAATATACTCATATTCAAAATCATTCGTATTTTTTCAAAATATTTCATAGCGACTTCCGAAGGTGAAGACATTGGTTGCAGTTCAAATCCATGTCAAAATAGTGGTATTTGTGAACCGGGCTATTTGACGGCATTTAAGTGTAAATGTCCGTACGGTGCTTCGGGGAAATACTGTGAAAGTAAGATCCGATTCAATTCTTCGATTCGCGAAACTGTTTCCCTGTAACCCTCCAAGGAATTTTTTCCTGAGATCCATGAATTTCAGTAGTTGATGCAAACAAAATATCGTAATTCTTGACTTTTCAAATTTTGCCATTTCCTAGTATCTATTTCTTAGCTGCCGCATCATAAACTTCACACAGCTTTCATAAGCACCACATGCTTCCACATGAAAAAAGGTGCATGCAAGCAACGATACAACTATAAAACACAAATAAATCATCCAATATCAAAGACAGAAACTTGAAGCACAACACACTAATATACCATTGAAATTGATAGAGTTTTAAATGTTATACATAGAAATATACGTCGAAAATACTTGGTATACTTTGTTAGGAACAAAATAGAGAAGCAGTAATTGTGCACTGTAGCACGCCGTTTAATTGTTAAATAGAATGGATTGAGTTTCGTTTGAGAATGGACGGAGATTGATTTATTTTTTAATTGATATCGTAAAGAAATGGATCGGAAGTGAAGTAATGT